TGTGAGATTTAGAAAGGAAATGTTTGATATTCTACTCTATTTTCAAGAAACCTATGAGGCAGATAAGTAATACTGCTCCTTTTCCAGATTGTTCCCTGAATAATTTCTTTGATACACAGTCAGAATTCAGAGACCTTGATTTCTTGCTCAATGAACTCTTAGGAAGTAAAAAACTGGCACTGAACATAGTGAATTTTGACATAACAAGTCACTACACTCCAGTTTTCAGTAGGTGCAAATCTACCTACCCAGAGTGTTAGCATTCTGACTTTGTTTCCTCTGTACTTTGTATGACTTGGGTATCAGTTATAATTTGCACATGAAATTACCTCTACAGGAATCCCATCAAAAACCCACAGAGTCTGCAGCACAGAAATGAATCTTTTCTGCCCTGTTCACTGGTGAGCTGTACTGGATATTATATGAAGTGGATGAATCATGGATGAGAAGGACATTGATTTAATTCTTTTCATATTCATTTTACTCTTGAATTTCAATATACATCTCTAAATACCTGAACAGAGCATTCCAGCATTATTTCTTCCTTTTTAAAAGACAGAGTTGGAATAGTATTTCCAATTTCTATTAAAGCTTTACATCCTGAGCTTTGCAGGACCATAACTATATTAGAGCACTATAAAATATCTACATAATATCTATCCATAAACAATTGGATGAAGCTTCTATGCTGGGAATGCACTAAGAGAGTGCTTCAAAGGTGCTCATACAATGTTTTAGGCCATAAATCATAACTAGGGTATGATGGTGAACACTGAGGAGAAAGGACTGGTTTTAGGAAGCCTTTTGAGGGTAGCATCCAGGTCTTTAAGAAGCTGAGCTCCATCTACACAGTGAAGTTTGTAATTCCAGTCTGTGGCACTGGCCACTTTGTATGGTCAAGCCTGAACTTTCTCACAGAATAACATCTCTCATTATTAATGAAGAACACAGGTATTCTATTTAATCCTCCCACTCACTTCATTTTTAGTGATATTTACTGAGTAAATCCCAGGTGCCTGTTTTTTTTTCATTATTATTTTTTATCTTCTTTCCTTCCTTGCCTACTTTCCCACTGAGTCCATGAGGCAAAGTGCAACCCAGAGCAACCCAGGCAGTGGAGTTTCAGACTGGATTCTGTTGCACCTATTGAAGGATGCTTAACTTCTGCACACAAATAGCTTTTCCAAAATGGTCTCCAAAATGAATATGAGATTTCACAACAGCAGGTGTTCTTGTGCCTCTGTATTACTACTTTTTTTTTCCTGATGCAAGAAAATTTTATGCAGTGTTCAGTATATTTATATTGTGGATTCATAAACTCCCCACAGATAACAATGCTAGAGATAGCAGCAGGGATCAAGAGCTACAACATATTTGTGTGGAGAAATTCTGTAAATGAAAAAGTGCCATGAAAATGCAAGGCATGAATACATTGCAGCCTCCTCAGCTTTCAGACCTGTCAAAGGTCTCAATAAATGTAATTACATCAGTCACATGCTTTCTTCATGCCATGTTAACAGAACAGAAAGAACACAGGTAACTGATAAACTCCTTGGTCCAGATTTAATTCAGTCATTCACATGTGGAAAATAAATTGGCTACAGAAGTATTTTTTGCTGCCTTTGTGGTGAATTATCACAAAAGTATTCTGGACCATTTTGTATCTGCTTCAACAACTAAACAGAAAAACACACCCTTGCCTCCAGAAATTAAAATCAACTTAGTACAAGACTGTGGTCAATGAGCATTCCTGTTCACACTTTTCTGCCTGGGCTAATGCCAAGGGATTTGAGAAAACAGCAAATGGAAAGAAGATAGCAGATTGCAGGGATTGCTGTTAAGTCTTTGCTTACGAGACCAAGACTTGAAATGTCATCAGGTAACAAGTCCAGCACAGTGAGGGTCACAGGATGCTTGCCTTTACTAGAGGAGAGGAGTGATGTGCTGAATTAGGTACAGAGGAAGACAAGGCAATGACATTACACAGGCTGCTTGATTTAGCTGCTGTTCACTCTCCCGGCAAAGGAGTCTCAGGGTAGACTAGATTCTGTATGCTAGCCCACAGCAGCATCTCATTTTATATAGATTTTTCTGGCTGCTGACTATTTTTATTAACATCTCTAGAACAACAACAAAAAAGAGCCCAGTCAGTAAGACTGTGTGCAAGTTATTGAAGAAGCTTAAATCCTTTGGGTTAGCAGCAGTAGTTTCTATCCATTTTTTATATAATGACTGTGGAAGTTGTCTGTGAGCACCAGAAAGTGTTTTCAGAAAAGATTGCTTTTATCTGGTTGACAGTCTTCTATTTATAGTTGGCAAATATTTCATGGTTCAGGTTTATGAGCACACTGTAGACTTTGGTATAATGACTTTAGCTTAAGCCACTTACAGCCATACAGCAGGTTGCACATGAGGCTTTTTGCTGGGGGGAGCAATAGAGGATGCAGCACTTACCAACATTTCAAAAATTCAGAGCTGCTAGCCACAAAGCCCAGTAATGAAGAAAAAAATGTGCAGTGCCTCAGAAAGTTAAGCTTAATACTTTGCTTTGTCAATAACACAAAAAAAAAAAAAAAAAAAAAAAAAAAAAAAAAAAAAAAAAAAAAATCAGAAGTAAGGCACCCAAAAGCTGTGAGTCCCTTTGCTTTAATAAATTCAAGTGTAAGGCCGAGGAAAAGAATCCCAAGCAGAAAGTCAACAGTCTGCATCTCAGACTGTGGGTCCTGGCTGACTCTAATCAGTGATAAAGATGCAGCTATCTTTGTGCTCTGTCCTAAGGGATGCCTTACCCAGAGTACCAAAATACTGTTGGACAGATCTGGAGAACAATGACATTACAACACTGTGTTCTTCCCTGGATGCAAAGCAATACTGCACTTGTGTATCTGTCAGACTGCTAGGGGAAAAGAATTAAAGAAAAGTGCCCTAAAACTTAAGCAATGAAGAAAGGATCTTTTTCAAAGCTGAGGTAAGAATAAGGATGTGAGTTTTCAGTGTTTCCCACTCAGAATTGCAGGGGTTTGCATGATATCCTTAGTAGTGCAGGGAATACCTTTTCCCAAAGAGATTAAGCTGTGCCAGCATCTGTCATTCAGATCAGTCCATTATTTATGACATGGGAGCTGTCAGGTTAGATCCCAGACATGTTCCCTGCAGGCTTAAGCCTTGTACCCCAGGCAAGCACACACACAGAGTGTCACTGACATCCCACGGGAGTCCAGATCTGCCTGAGATGGATTACAAGTTCCCTTTAGAGTAGACAGTGAGGGATAATAAGGAGAATCATCATGGTAATGTTTGGAATGTGTGTCTTACACATGCTTTGCACTCTATCTAATATGTCCACTTCTTTGGGGAACTTTCTTTGTGCTATTAATTGGTGTTGAAATAACCCCCAAATATGGATCCATACTAACATTTTTAGGGGTGAATATATAAAGCTTGTGAGGGTTTGCCAAGGGTAAGATGAAGTGTACCATAACCTCTGGTGTCTCTTGTTTCTGGAATCTGTTTAAGAACCACAGAGACAGCAATTTTTACCCTACTTCAGTATCTCAAACTCACACATGCACTTTGTCACACAGTGTTTGCATCCATCAGGACTCATCTTCCCTTCCCTGCAGGGAGGTTGCTGTTGGCCTGGGATGTTTGGGAAGTCATGTCAGTCTGCACTGAGTTGGTGGTGCTCACATGTACAGCCCTTGGCCATTAGTGGCCAGGTCCCTGAGTGTCCCCTTGGACTTGGCCTCATCCATCTGTCCCACCTCCAAGGCCTCCCTCCACTCTCAGGGTCTTTTCTCCAGGCAGGATCTTTGCTTTCCAGGTCCCCAACTTCTTCTCAAAAACACTTATTCTTTTCAGGTATAAGTCTCCTCCTCTTTCCAGACTGGAAGCACTCAGTTTTCCCTGTCTGAATGGTCTAGGTACAGAACTATAGAAAGTGATCAGCCTCCTCTCTGGTGGTCCTTTTTCAGATCCCTTTACTGATAGGAGGATTCAGGATGTGCCATTTCTGTTTAGACCAGAGCCTGTAAAAAATTACAGCCAGCCTCTACTGTTGCAGCAAATGGGTTTCTGCTTGAGAGTTCAGTTTGATCTCAGACATTTCCCAAAAACATGGAATCGTGGAATGGTTTGGATTGGAAGCGACTGGAATCACTAGATGAGAGGTGTGGTCACTTTGGCTATTTAAGCAGTCTTAAAATGTTGTCTCCAGAAAGTATCACTGCTACTCCAGAAAGAGTACCATTTTTTAAATTTCTGTGTATGACTTAAAAATAAAGTGCATCCATTTCTCTCATCTCAAAAGCTGCTTAAATTTGATACTTCCACAAATCCAGAAAAAATCAATCAAAACCGAACAGCCCTTACTCTTCTTTGCTCCAGCATATTTTTCCCTCTTCTCACTTTTTGTTGGAGACACAAATTATGACAGCCACTGTTTTGCCCCATGCTCAGTGTTTTCATCTACAGAACTGAGGTCTCTGACCATAATTCACTCTCTTGTTGCTAGAAGGTTGAGCCCAGAGCATGTCCTCTCCCGTACACACTTGGAGAGCAGAAAACTGAAGCAAAGCAGGAATCTGATCAAAATTAAAAAAAAATTAATCTGAATCAAAAGCTGTTTTTGACTTTGATTATAATCTCCTATAGGCAGAGCAGAGTAGCATCTCTTTCATTTGTTTCCACATATGGGAGTCTTGAAAATGGTTAATTAAGAATGGTTTTCAATGTATTGTATAAAAACTTTAGAATTGTTTTAACTGTTAGATTGTTGTGATGTTTGAGGCTGAGATTTCTGGCATGGAGTGGTTGTTCTCTCTGCCTTTTCCTCACTCTTTGTCAGTAACAGAGGCCAAATTGTTCAGTGTCAAAGTAAACATTTCAAAGTTCATAGCTCAGCAGCTGGTGAGTCACTCCTGAGCCAAAGGGAATGTCAATGAGAAGAGATTCTGTGTGAGAGGTGATTAGTTTCTGTAGAGAGATTCAGTGATTCATTATCAGGTCTGGCTGCATTTTAATTGCAAAGGTTAGAAAACTCTGTGTTGACCTAAGGATTAATAGGGAGAATAACACATTTTTGATGTCTGGAATGTCTTAGCTGAAACTTCTGCTAAGATCTGCTTGTAGCCATTAGTTGTACATGTTTTTCTTGTCTTTTACTTGTATCTGTGCACTGGCATTTAGAAGATGAGTCTTGTGCAGGGATTGCATTGGAAAGCTGTGGGAACAGAACAGAACAGTGGTCTCTGACCTAAAAAGATATTATCAATGTAGAGCATGAAGAGAACTAGGTATGTACAGATGATGGGGAAGTACAAACAGAGTAGAAACTGATACAAACCACATGGAAATCTCTGAAAGAGGCAAGGATTTGAGAAGCAGTCATGTGGGTCACACAAGGGTAACCTAAAGAAGAAATCAGAGGGAATGAGTGGAATTGCACTGGCAGAGCAGAAAGAAGATTGACTTTTCATTTATTTAGGCAAGAAAAGCCATTTTTTGCTTTTAACAATAAGGGATAAGAACAAAGTATAGAATTCTCTCTCCTTGAGAAGTCACTGGAAACACAGAGGAGGAGAAAGAACTGTGTGTGGTTGATTGAAAGAAAGTTTTTTGCATCATAAACTGAGCTAGTCAAGCCAGATAGGGTTAAGATTATGCAAGACTTGTCCTCATTTCTGTTACTTGTAACTTTGCCAAATTTTAATTATCCTGGCTGAATTTTTTATGCTGGGTGTATGCCTAAAACTGAAGGGTGTGTGTCTCTGTGTGTTTTACTATTTCAGTCATTCTGAAACCTGAGAAGCAAAGGAAGATTTTTTTTTCCTCCATGTAAAACAAAGATGCCAACCTATTTTATTTCCTCAAGAGGCTCTGATGTACAGAGTACCTGAAAATCCAGTTCTTAATATTAATGCCACAGATGTGTCTTTTGGCTGGCTGGAAACAGATATCCAAATTTGTAAATTTTGGAAAACATAGCAGAAGCAAAAAGCTCCCAAGACATGGGAGCTCTCCCAGCACCACCATAAGAAGGGGTAGCACCTGCAGCTCCCACACATGGAGCAAGACCTTCTCTTCATTGACCCTATCTCAGGATTATCACAGGACCCAAGGTCTTCCTGAGTGTCAACATCCACATCAGTTACATGAAGGTTCATCAGAGAAGAGAGGAGAGATGAACTGTTCTCCAGGCTTGATTGACTGATTGGCCAAATCTCTGTTGACTTCAGGGAAAATTGGACACCTACATGTTGACATCTATATGTAGGTACTGGAATCTGGAATTCAGTCCCATCCCTCCTCTCTCTGGAAAACTGGAGATAAAGGGTGTTGACAGCAGAAGGTGTTGACAGGGAATGAGTGATGACAACAGAAACCCTGTGGCTTGTGTTCAGGGCTGCTTTTTGTGCAGGGACTACGATGAAGGAAAGGAGATACTGACTAAAACCAACAGTGGAGGGTTGCAAGCCAACAAATCTGAGGGCAAAGTCCAAAGACCCCAGATACCAAGAGACATCAGACTGGAAGGAAAGACAGCTGGAATGGGCCCCCAACAAAGCAGATTAAAATAGAGCCAGCAGTAGAGGACTATTTTTATTGAAGGAAACTACTTTCTGGATAGAAGGATAGGAGTAGCTTTTTTTTTACTTTTTTCACCTCCACAAGCAAAGCAAAATAAGATTCAAAGGTTGCCCTTGCATAACATGCAACAGAAACAAATTCCTAAACTTGAGAATATCTATGTCATAACCTCATTTCTTCATAAAATAAAATAAAGGGCAGATGGAGGAGAAAATAACTTTTGGAACTCTGGTTTTCATTAAAAGCAAAACAAAAAAAGATCATCAGCAACAAAACATTAAAAAGTCTTGGCAACACCTGTTGCACACTCTCCATAGCCATGCAACACATGGTGCTCTCAGCTGGCAGTGATCTATGAAGGGTCTTACATAGACAAAGTTTAGATCAGAGGCTGGAAAACAGCACAGCTCTGAGCAACTCATCCACTTATCTATCATGTTTACACCCAGAGTGACTCTTTGGCCAATCTACATTTCTTTCTTAGTCTCTTGAAAATAAATCAATTCATTTTATTAACTAGTTGTTATGACACAGCAAAGCATAAGCAAATATTTTGCTGAATTACAGCAAATTTTACCTAGTATTTCTGCAAGCTCTGTTGCGCTTACCTGTTGTGGTGTGTTTTTCTTTTATTAAGTTTGAAGTTCTTATACATTGTTCACTCAATTACCCCCCTGCTTTGTCAGTATAATCCAAGTTATTTTCTCCTCTCCTGTACCATCAATCAATGTACCCCAACCCCTTCTTCCAGGACCTTCCCTGCCAGTCAGCGTAACCCTACCCCTTTATCCAGATCCTTCCCTGTCAGTTTTACTTGGTACCTACCCCTTGTTCTGGAATCTTCCCTGTCAATCATCCAATACTGATGCCCCATTGGATTAAATCAACTGTTCCCTCCCCTCAAGCTTCTCCATTGGACAGTGTTTGGCAAACCCTGCCTTGTGCTCCTCCCCTATATTAGTTCATTGTTTGTACGCTCCCCTTACTCCTCCCCCATATACAAATTGATGTATTGCTGTATTTCTCGTCTGTTTTTCCTGGATCCTTCTGGGTAATGAAGTTCCTTGAAAACCCACACAAAAGACCCTTCCTTTGTCTTTGCCTTGACCCTCGACACTGACTACAAGAGTGCCTTGGAAAGCAGGCTTACTGCTGCTGAGCTGAGCAGACCTGCTCAACTTCTACTTGAGGTTATTTCATAGTCTGCGTGAGGCCACACCTGGCACAGTCTAGGACAGGCTATAGCCGGTGGATTAATCCAGGCACTGCATCACTTACCCAAAATTTGATTTCAGATAGCTTTGCAGGACCTTTACAATTTTCTGTTTCAGACTGTCTGTGGTTTCATTCCAAACGTGAGAAAGTTACTGAGAAGGGTTTCAGCTCGTGTTCTTAGACTTGTGTTGTCACATAGATGGATTTTATGATTAGTGTTTTTTAATGCCCGGGAGTCCTGGTCATGGATCAGGAATCCTCTTGCCTTAACAGCTGTACAAACGTAGGCTCAATGAACTCTTCCTCCTTGTGAACAGCATCCCTTCCCCTTCAATAAGATGTAGTTTTCTTGAAGTCAGGTCAAACTCTGTTGTCAGCTACCCTGGAGTATATCTAAAGCCACTTCGTTGTTACTTTGACAAAAACACAGAGTACACAGCAAGGTTTTTGCTTTAAAGTAAATGCCCTTCATCAGTGTGAAATTGCCTCCTACAGCAGAAACCTATCTCGGAGCTCTGCTGCTTAATCTGCCAGGCGCTGGCACTGACTGCACTGAGTGCCAGCAGTGCCAATTGGCAGCCGAGTCCTTGGGTGGATTAAACCAATTATTGCTGCTCTTTGTCTTCCTGCTTTGTGCTCTCCCCTGACTTCCCAATTCTTTCTGTTAACACATGATTTTATATGAATGCTACAGATTTACTCTGTGTAAGGATGTTCATTGTGGCTCAGTGTTCCTCCATATGCTGTTGGTGGTCTGCAGACACACTAGACAGAGGTTTTGGTGCACTGGAAGATGTCCTGTATGGCTTTCTGCTTCCCTTCCTCTTTAAAAACCTGCTGTTAGGTTGTTTTTCTGGTTCTGAAGGCTCAACCACCCAGTGGTTACCCTCATTTGAATTTTCCTGCTTCTTTGTGTGTTCCCAGAATCAGGTCCATGGTGGTGCTGCTGAATGGGTGTGTGGATATAAAAAGAGGTTGATTTCTGTGAAGGTTTTAGGTTTTCTTTTCACCCCTGGTGTAGGAAAAGGGATGTTTCCTAGTGAGGGATTAGGGAGGATGGTGCAGCCTGCAATGGTGTGTGCACAACTCAGTGCAGCCTCACCATCTCCTCCTTATGATCCATTCACTGTAGACTTTCAGTGGGCAGAAAAATCTTCCAGTGACACTTAAAGGTGGTTTAAATATTTTAATATCTGAACAAAACCTAGGCTGACAGAAGTATTCTGAAGACTGAAAAGTTATCTGTTTCATATGGTAATTTTTATTGAATGGTACTGGGGCTGTTCTCACAAATGGAAGGACAATAATGATGCCAGGACTGTACTCTATTTTTAATGAACATTTTTGCACTGCACTGTGCATAACTAGTTTCTACCAAAAAAATATAAAAATCTAATATTCCATTGTATGTTCATTTCCTATCTGCAAGGCATTTGTTGTGTAAGGACTCAGTTACACAATCAGTGGCCAAACTAGAAAGTGTTTTCAGTGCTACACCAATATGATGTCTCTAGACCTTCAGCAAATAGATTTAATCACATTTGTAGGTACACTTAGCTGGAAAGACCAAGAAAGTTACTCCTCCAGCTTTCCAGTATGACAGTCAGAGCTCCTTGCCAAATGGAATGTTTTAACATTGATGAATCCTTAAAATTTAACATGAGCTATACCAGGTCTTCCAGAAGCAAAAACATTTTCCTGAAATACCAGAACATCCACAAATATTCCACCTACACATGTCCTGTGTCTCTTTGCCATGCAAATAGAAAGCTGAGGGCTCATACCAGACACAAATTGCACAGCAACATGAGAACTAATATTTGATACTTCTGAAAGCTTACTATTTTTCCCAGCCAAATGATTTTATCGAATAAAAAAATTTCTCCAGTGGGTAAATCAAGGATGGGAGGGAGGTTTAGAAATGATTCTGTATCATCAATGCTACAGCATGACCTCAGGATATGTCTACATCCTAACTCCTCCTTTTCAAAGTCATCTATCGTAGAGTCAATAAGCCATGCTGTGACTTCATATCTTCCATATATGTAGCAGCAAAATGGGTGAAAAACTACCTGATTCAGGATTTTTCATCAAACATTAACATTTCTTAAGAGCATGTTCTACCTACAACTGGTATGTTTCACACTTAGAATGTTGTAGTCTTGTTAATGGGAATAAGAATTGAGCAACAAAGCTCCCATGGCAGAGTCAGGTGACTTAGGATTCATGATGGGCACTTTAACTTTACACTTTCTACTTGTCTGGTCTCCATCTTAACCCAAATGAGCATCTTTGTGGAAAAGGTGACAGATCAGGTGATTCCCAGCTGAACCCACAAATTCAGCTGTCCCCACAAATTCAGCTATCATACATTTAAGCTCATGTTCAGTGTGTCACCACAGAATCACAGAGGGGCTTGAGTTGGAAAAGACCATAAGAACCACCTTGTTCCAACCCCCTGCCATGGGCAAGGACAACTTCCACTAGATAAAAACCTCATCCAACCTGAACACCTCCAGGGATTCCACAGCTTTTCCAGGCAGCCTGTGCCAGGCCCTCACCAGTCTCACCCTGTTTGAAGGTCCCTGTATGAAGCACCTT